GGGCGTTTTTTGTGTGACATATCACTTATTAAATTAGTTCATGTATTGTCACCTTCTTCAAATAATTTTTGTAATTATTATAATATTACCTTTGTTATGGGACTTACGTCTGTTTGAATAATAAAGTTTATTATTATTATATTTTGTTTTGGACTCGCTTGTTACAAGTCCTCCTTTTGAGGCTTCTATTATGAGTTAAGTACATTTTCTCCTAAGTTCTTCTTTAGTGCGACATCACTGTCATCTCCGTAGGCACATAGCTGCGAGGTTTTCGTGTTGAAGCATATCTTTTCTGTTTATTTTATCAAAGGTCTGTTTGAAATCGATGTAAATGATTTACAGGTCCATGTTATATTCGCAGAATTTTTCTTGTATTTTCCGCAGAGTATGGATATGCTTCTTCATATCCACACTTCACTTTGATATTTTCCCAGGGTTCGTTCGGAGTTCGAATAGCTTATCTTTTAGATATTAAAATGTGGTCGATTTGGTTTCATTCATCCATACCTATATTATCATAGTATTATGGATCGTGGGAAATATATCGACTTTTACCCTATAGTTCGCTTCAACGTCTTTCGAAGCACACAGCTACAAATATGTGACATTGGTTGCTCTGTACTTTACCGAAACAGTTTTGTCATCCAACCCAATCACCGGATATAAGTCCTATATCACATCTTTGGGAAGGATTTAATGGGTCAATTCCAAAATCATACATAAAAACCAAGATATTACCCAGCATGGTAAAAGGAAAAAATGGCGCGAAAAAAAGTAAAATGAGTGTACAAAAATTAGTACATTTTCGTTGAAATATATTTTTTTAAATAACTTCTTTTGATAGTGTTTACTTTTTGTTAACAATAACTTACTATCTAACAGTGCTTTTCTTTATCTTGTTTTAACGACTTTGTATAATTTTGTATACGATATGGTTTAAACTGTTATTTTACATAATATATAAAGATTTTTGTGAATCACTGTATGTGCGTATCCTGAATAACGAATGTAAAAGGAGGCAACAATTGACGTTTCAATTTAGATGTGCATGGCATGTTGTGGACGCGTTTTAAACGTTTCAAAAAACCCTACGATTTCTTGTTTCAGTTTGCAGACTAAATGTGCGTATTACAAAATTGATTGATATCCAGTAACACGGTTGTCATTGCCCTTTTTTTATGATTCCATTCCAGTTTCGAGCTTCAAATAAGTAAAAATCCGAGGCTTTATAATGGTAAAAATAATTTGAAGTCATATTATTAAGATCACATATACATATGCAGTGCATAAATATCTGTGCTTATAAATTGAATCTAACACTCGAGGTATTCTGCGAATTAAGGGTAATACTATTGTAAGTCTAAATCGTTAAATTGTCATTATAATTCCATGCTTGAAATATGGACTAATCGAAACGAGTTAATTTAACCATAAATAAAAATCTTCAAGTAATAAGATACCTGGATTTTGGGATGTCTGACATTAAACCAAAGACAAACTAAATAAAGTTAGATTAATGAGTGGTGTAGATGGGAAAATGAATTCCAGAAAACGAATGAAATTGGCACAAAAATTGTGTGGTGTTTCAATTTCATTCAAAGTAAGTGGTAGATGGCTCTGGCATTTCGCAGAAGACATGGGATTCTTAATAAGTAAATTTACGAATTCAAATACACCGAATGAGGAACTTGAACCTTTTTGGCCTTTTAGTACTATGACATGCTTTGCTTGGAAACATAGAAGCCTTCAGGTACACAAAATCAATAAATTTAAGACAAACAATAGAAGAAAAATCATCAATGACAGAATATCGTCATTGCTTGTGTTAATGCCGATGGAGCACATACTAACGACGAATATATTGAAAAATATTTTTGACGAAGTAATGGTAATATTAGGGGACGAAGAAAAGGAAGAACACAAGAGAGAGGGAGAGAGAACCGACCAAGATGAGAATAAAAAAACATATTAAACAGCAAACAGCTCAAATAAGGCAATTGAACAACGCAATATCTAGGAAATAGTATCCAGGATGGCTACAAGTCTATCCTAATAGCGGAATAATGCACTGTCATGAAAACTAATGTCAAAATTTTAGGAATGTGAAAATGTTTTATAGATTACTTTCTAGTGATCGCCAAGATCTCAAAACACCGAACAGTGCTTGGACTTCAAGCATAATTGAGGAAGGACAAGACATAAATCGATTAGTTCAAATACTCATCTCCACAATTAACAACATAACTTAAGAGCTAAAGGCATATTCCGGTCAACAGATGACACGGTCAACAATGAACACGGTTTATCAGTAGAAGAGAAAAAATAAAAAAGGAAAATACTGCAAAAATAAATGGATCCAAACAAATCGACGCGCGATAAGGGGAGAATATCAAAAAAGCCTCCCAGAGGAAGACATATGAAAGGAATTGATGAAAATATCCACAAATGAGTCAATACGGCGCTTAACTATATTTCTGCAGGAATCCCAGGCGTATTCTAAATGACTGTGGAAGAGAGTAGCAGGAGAATCAATTTTATTCTCAGTTCACGTAAAATATTAGAAATTGACTGTAATCAAAGAAGGCAGTGAAGAAGTATTTCACGATAATGCAATAATGAACAAGACCTCATTTTTGAACTTGTAGATGTTCGAGGTAAACCTGGAAGAAAAATTAACAAGAAGGACAGTTTGCTTTGTAAAGAATTACTATTTCCAGGTGAAGATGAGAGAAAAAGTTTCTACCTTATACGTGATCTGGCAACGATGGCAAAAACCAAAACTTTCTCAATTTGCAGATGAAACAGGTATCACGGCTAGACCTGTCAAAACTGGAACTACGCTTCATATACTGAAATAGTCCTGCAGACTTTGAAGAATTGGAGTAAATACTAAAAGACACGAAGAAAATATCCTTGAATATTCAAAAACGAATGCGGGTGAAAAGGGAAATCATATACCATGAGAGAATAGTCTAAGTACTGCGAAAAGCATGGCAAAGAAGATATATTTCCTAACAAGAGATGTGTAATGTAATAACATAGCAGGTGATGTATGGAGTTAAAATCTTGAGCAGCCATGATAACAGAAAGAAATTAGACTGCTCAGAAACAGAATTTTGCGTTCAGCAACGAACAGTTCACACTAAGTCGGAAACGCAGACATGCTGGAAACAGAAGAGAACACAACACTGTGCTAGATTAAAAGAATATGTTAGTTACATTATGTTGTCAATTAAAAAGGTAGCGACATTGAAAACATTTCGCTCCTTGAATTCATAAACAATATTGTAAATTCGTTGAATTGATGTAATTAATTAATATCAATATAGCGACTGGATGAGAGTTATATTATTATTAATATTGCTGCCGGACTGAGGGGAGCGGCCCCTCTCTTTACCGCGACCTATAAGATCTATTGTAACTTTAGCCCTCCAAAAGTTTAGGGCAAATGTAGGTCCTTGATGAACCTTAGTATTGTCCTGAGGTCTTGAACCTTTATGTCGGTAGGTAACAAGGGAGATTTACCGAAAATGTTGTGTCTTAGACGCCCTCTGGCGACGCAATTGCACAGTATATGTTCAGCAGTTTCTGACTCGTTGTTGCATAGTTGACAAGTTTGATCCTCAGCTTGTCCAATGTGGAAAAGGTGGTATTTCAGGGGCGCATGGCCGGTCAGGTAGCCCGAGAGCGTCCTTAGATCCACTTTGCTAAGGCATAAAACCTCTTTGGTTTTGTTTTGCAACGAAGTTTTCATACTCTTCGCTTGTCTGTGACCTGGAAGTTCTTTCCAGCGTAAGGCTACCTTTGAGACCTCCCAGTTGTTGATTACTTGTTTTAGGTGGCTTTTTTTATAGTTCACAATGAGAGTTATATGATACATCTATCATATAACTCTAATTTCTCGATCTATAAAATGAGTTTTTGTTGTATAACATTTGGAGTCGATTTGGTTATTTTACAGAAATCTCTGGATAGCTAATGTATTAAGGACAAATGTAATAAGACTAACAAGTTTCCAGCAATGGAAATAAATTATCGACTATTTATGAAGCTTGGAGTAGAAATATGAGAGAATGATGTGAAGTGTGTCCCATTGCAACAAAGTTTGAGTTATTTTGACCAATTGAAACATATTAAATGATAGTAAGATGTATTGAGAGGTCGTATAACAAGCAACAAGAGTAATTGTAAAGTGTTTTAATCACTCAAGAACCAATGATATCCTTTGGCAGCAATAAGAACCCGTCAGTCTTACTTATATTCAAGCTAACACTTGTTGAGTCACGTAACATCATATGACTAAGCGTTAAATTCTGATTGATCAGCTCTGATAAACCTGTACAAGATTTATATAACTCAATTGGACAACTTAAACGTAACCATGTTGCTACATCATGTAAGTCAAGGTCACAAAGCTTCATGTCAGGTTGTATGCAGGTATACTACGCTGATAACTATCTATAAGTATTTGAATAATTAACATATTCATCTTTTAAGAAGAAATTTCATTACAGATACTAGTACTGGTCCTACTTAAGCGTTGAGTTGTTGAAGTAACGTCATTAATTAATCGTTTTTTATAAGAAAAATTGTATGACAAGATGAAATTTTATATTTAATTATTAAATAATTGTTGAAAAAAGTGACTTGGGGACTTTTAAGTCACATAGTCCTAAAAGCATAACATTTTAATATTGAACTAGATAAAGATAAACAATTAAAAATTTAATAAGTTTAGCAATTTCAAAATGTTATTGATTTAGATGGTTGCACACAAATCCATTTCCATTTATCATTACTTCTGTTTATTATATTTTCAAAGTTTATTTGATTTCAAAAATAGTACAGTTTGTTTAGACTCACGTTTCAAAATCTTGTGATTTATAGCGGATTCTCAAAACACTACCGCTTTTTCTGTTAGTTTATTAAAATACAAACGATAGCAAACGATTGCCGAATTAGAATTTTAGGAAATTGATAAAATAAGAATAATTTTTTACCTTTATAAACTTTTCCAAAACATCCCTCTCCAATTTCATTCAAAAACATCAAGTTTTCTCTTTTCAAAATTGGTGCCGCCGTACTTGGGCATGTAGAATATTGAGGATTTGGCGCGTATCTATCGGCCATCAAAGGATTTGTTTTTAACACTCTAATCGACGGCTGAAATAAAAGAAAAAATTAGTTATATCAAAGAAATTTAATTATTTTAAAAAAGCACTTACCGCGTTGGATTTCATACTTTTTCTTTTATAAATTACACAACAAAATAGTACGATGATAAACAAAACTATGCAAGTTCCAAGTAATGAAACCAATAGATAACTTTGTTGTGCGAACGTGCTTGGATCATTAATTACTGGTTGTCCAAATACTTTTGCACCCTAAAAACATAAATATTTACATTTTAACAATTTTAATATTTTAAAATCAATTTTCGGAAATGGTTTTTATTTAACACATATCTTTTGAATTACTCATTTCTATAATACTATTGGGCAAAATGTAAATTAGAAATTAATAAACTTTATTTAAATCTCTCAATCCTCAGGTAAACTACCTGAGTAATTTAATCTTTCCATTTCTTTACTTTGTATGATGGTTAAACGGTAGTTTCTTAGAGTTGGGCTCGTACACAATAGTCAACAATGATTTTAAATCGCATCCAATTTATTCTCGAATACGTTAAGCCTATAGTGTTATGTAAATTTTGAAATTTAAGAAGTCGTAGAATGGACATGAATAAGAAGGTGTGAAGACGAAAGAGATAGAGTAAGACGCGGACTGTGGGGGATTATGAAATTTCCCTCGTTTACGAACTTTTTTTTCTTGTATAGAATATAAATCTTGGTTTAAAGTGGATAATTTATTTATATATTATTCAAATTTTTAAATCATTTAATAGGTATTGTTAGGATTCTCCTTTAATGTATATATGCAACTTATTTATAAACACGGTTTATTTGGTTGCCTATTGATGATCAATAAATTGCAATTAAATTTAATTATTTAACAATTAGTTATAAATTAAACTATAAATCAATAATAAAAAATTAGTTACTTACAGAAGTTGTTGAATTAAGGTTAGCTAATGCTGTTTTATTCTTAATCGCCGTGCCATTATCAACAGGTGGACGTACTCCAATAATTCTTCGTCCAGAATGAAGGGGCACTATAACAATACATTGTTTTAAATTGTGGCATGTTATTCCAAAAAGTTGTAAGCTCAAACTACGCTTTGTTACGTTTATTGCATAGATATATTGTGCATCGCACGAAATTGCCGGTGAAACGAAAAATGTTGCAAATTGAATTTGATATACCCTTTATCGTTCAAACCAATAGGAATCTTAATGGTTTCAGTAATTACTAACTGAGAAAATGCTATCAAGAAGTTATTATTATTGGCCTGGTATAGATAAAGACATAGAGGAATATGTCAATAATTGTAGTACGTGCAACATATTCCGAAGTAAAGATCCCGATATTAAGAATACTGATTGGAGAGTGTCTTCTACATTTTGGGAACGAGTCCACATAGACTTTCTCTAGAGGTTTGGAATATACTTTTTGATTATTGTGAATTGTTTTTCTCGATACATGGATATCTATCAAGTCAATTCAACAAATTCAAAAGAAACTAGCATAACTAGCATAATAAACTAGCATAATTTGGACGTCATGTATTTAGTATTTTTGGTCTTCCAGACGAATTGCTGTCCGATAATGGTCCGCCATTTAATGGAAATGAATATAAGAAATTTTGTATTTCTAATGGAATTAAATGCACATTTACACCACCATTGCATCCTAGATCTAATGGAACAGTAGAAAGACAACTTTATACTGTCAAACAGTGACATTAAACATAAAATGACAAAACATGACATTCAACATTATATAGATAATTTTTTATTAAAGCACAGAATTACACCTAATTCAGCTACAGGGTTGTCACCAGCTGAATGCATATTTAGAAAATTAGATTTATTAAAACCTAAATTAAAGGATCAGATAAGACAAAAAAAGTCGGAAAGAGATGGAGTAGATGTGAGGAAAGATAACAGGATAATTTTTATAGAGGGACAGAAGGTACTTATGTACAATAAAAGAAATAATACGAATTTATGGCAAGAAGGAAAAATAATGAAGATAACCAGCAGATATACATATTTGGTTTTGATTAATGGGGAAATACGATTTGTTCACGCCGATGATTTGAAAATCGATTGTGATAGAGAGATGGCTGAGGAAGAAACGTTACCATCAGAGTTACTGGTAGAAAGAGGAGAAGAAAGAAATATTAACACCGAAGGTAGGAATGAAATAAGAATGGATGAATTTGAAGCAAATAAAAAAGATACTGATGATAATAAAGACATATTGCTAGAAAATAACGCGCAATCTCCTACACTGAATGTAAACCCCGAGGTTAACAAAACTCCTGAAGTAAATAAAACTTGTATCCCTAATAAAATGTTACATAATAAAATGATATTCAAAAATGACATTCAAAATCTCTTTCCCGACATTAACCATGTGTAAAGGTCTAACTGCTCCTCCATTTTGCCCAAACCTCGTCGAATATGTGTGTCGGTTGTAATTGTTCATCACCATAGTAGTTTCAAGTAATTTCTATGTATTCTTAATTTGAAAGTTAATTTCAACGATATCTAGGAAACTAAAAGAATTTTACTACAATTTTTTTCACCAATTAGTCATTATTTGTCATGAGGAATAAATCCCCAAGTTTATGCGTACACAGGAAAAAATCGTGTCGTGTAAAAATTTTAGAGTAGTTGGTAAAAAGAATTAGAGTAAAAATTGTAATATCACATGGTAAAAATAACTCTAATGTACACTATATTTAATATTAATATAGAGTTCATATATTATTCACTTAATAGAGTAGTTTTTACAGTCCTCTAAAGGAGAGTTCTTTTTTACTTATGTTAGTGAACATTAAATTTTACACTAGACGTGTACTTTTCCTTCGGGTACTTCGTAGGCACCGCACTATTTTGCTCGGGATTACTCGTCGGTACCACGTGATCAACATGTGGTGTGATACAGCTAAAATTTAACGGTCATCTACTAAACGAGTCGGAACTCGATAGCGTCTCGAGACCTGATTTACGCGGTATAGAAAGAAAGAACGATTATTTTTATTGTAATTATGTTTGCCAAAATAAAACATTCATGATGTGAAATTAGTGGAACTACCGGAAGATTTTACATACGAGTTCCTTGTGAAGATTGGTAAGTATGTGCAACTTGGTGCAACTATACATACAGGAAACTTATAGAAGACTCATTAGATGCAGTTTTCATGATGACTCGGTGGAAACTTTAAAATGAATTAAGTATGGTTATATATGTATATAAAAAGAATTTAATGTTTTTAAATTTAAGTTATAACAATATATTACAAGTAAAAATAAAAACAAATATTTTATAATTTTGATTTTTATTACAAACGTAAAACTTCCCTAAAAATACTCCACTTCCTATTAAAAATTAACACTAATAAGTGTAAGATACACACTATTTAGTGATATTTTGTCAATTAATAGAGTAAAATTAGAGCGAATTTTTAATAATTTACACTGATTAGATTAGAAATGTATCTAATTAGAGTCACGACAACATCTAGTTAGATTACATATAATACACTGTTATAGAGTAACGATTTTACACTATTTAATAAACACCATCTTCTCACTATTTAGTGTAAATTTTTAATCTATTCACCTACACTATATAGTGTACAAAAATAACTCTAAATAAATTGGACCGATCTGAACCATGTTTTAGAGTTGATTTTTACTCTATATTTTTTCCTGTGTATAGGTTGAGAATCATCCTGTATATGCGATAGATGCAAATAGGATGTTTTGAAAATCTCCGGTACTAGGTGCCGCTTGCAGTGATTGCAGTTTTTGTTACCAAAGTTTAACATGTGGTTCTAAGTATGTTTACACAGAAGTTGCATTTTTGTTTTCGATTTTAAACTTTCTTTACGTAATTAATTCATTTGTAAATGATAAAATGACCTTTTTTAATACAAATGTTCTTACGCTTTTCCACATACATGCTCCTATTAAGGTCTCCTTGATGAGAAAAAAATAACCGTCCCTGGGTTACTGACAATGTGAAGCTGCTTATGACGCTTCGTGATAATGCGTTTGCTAAATTTAAAGAAACAAAAAGTCCTGTTGATTGTACTTCTTATAAAGAACTTCGGAACTTTACTAATTTATCTATTCGGAGGGAAAAAAGCGTATCTTGAGCATATGCTGAGCACTAGGAGATGTCGGGAACTTTGGACCGGTTTTAGGACGATGGGCATTGTTAATAGTAAACAGCCTTCTATTCCGGACTTCTTAGCGAGTGTTGATGCTATTAACGACTACTTCCAAACTTCTCAAATAGTTGCTACGGGTGATATGGACACTATTAATTATTATAACTTAAACACAGTACCTGGTGTTACTGAGAAGTTGACATTAACGCTTGCAACTAAAGAAGAGATTTATGACGTACTACTCAATCTCAAATCAAATGCTATTGGTACTGATGGTATTGGTATAAAGATGTTGTTGCTGTGTTGCCCGTTTATTTTGCCTTATATTTGTCATATAATTAACTATTGCATTCAGGGCTCTGTGTTTCCTGACTGTTGGAAAACTGCTCTGATTACGCCAATTCCAAAATCTAGCAATCCCAGCCAATTAAAAGATTTGAGACCGATTAGTATTTTGCCGGTTATATCTAAAATTCTGGAAAAAATTATTGCTGACAGGTTGCGAGAGCACTTAGATAAGTTCAATATTCTACCTATGCGGCAATCTGGCTTTCGTAAAGGATACAGCTGCACTGCTGCCCTATTGGATGTGACCGACGACATTGTTCGTGAGATTGATCAGAAAAACTTCACTATTTTAATTTTACTGGATTATTCAAAGGCTTTTGATACCGTTCATCATAAAACTCTTTTATCTATGTTTCATTACATTGGACTTTCTGATGATTCCATTTTGTTTTTCTGTAACTATTTAACTGGTCGTAGGCAAATGGTAGCTCTAAATGGCAACTTCTCTACTGAATGTGCTGTATCGTCTGGTTCCTCAGGGATCAGTTCTTGGTCCAATTCTCTATTTAATTTACACTTGCAATTTATATAATGTACTGAGAAGTTGTAAGGCTCACATGTATGCTGACGATACGTAACTTTACTATTCTTTTAACATCAATGACCTTGCTGATGCACAAAATTGTATAAATTCTGATTTGACAAGATTGATTGAGGAATCTTCAAAACTTTGCCTTCAGTTAAACCCAGATAAATCGTCGGTTATGGTCCTTGGGGGGCGGCGAGCCGTTGGGGAGGTCAAGGCATCTGTGGATCTAAAATTGAATGGCGTTAAGCTAAATATTACTGATGAGTCGCGAAACCTGGGAATCACTATTGATTCTACTCTTAGATTTCGTAAACATGTCGCTTCTCTTCTCCAGCGTGCTTATGCGACGTTGAAGCTACTATATGGTAATAGACAACTGCTTAATCAGCGTCTGAGAGCGCTGCTTTGTGATGCACTGGTGTTAAGCATTTCTAATTATGGGGATGTTCTATATGGCTCCTGTTTAGATGTTGCCGAGTCGTTGCGTGTTCAACGTGTGCAAAATGCATGCTTACACTTTATATTTGGCATTCGAATGCGAGAAAAAATATCCCATACCTTAAACTGGGTTGGGTGGTTAAATATGTCTCGGCGTCGTAAATTGCACTCTGCTTGTTTGTATCGAGGAATTATTTTCAATCAAAAGCCTCCCTACTTGTTAAATAAATTGAGATACCGCTGTGACGTGCATAACATCAACATCCGTCGTCGTTCTTCCTTGTCTATACCCCAACATAGATTGCAAATTTTTGAACGATGTTTTTCATATAGCATACCTAATTTGATCAATAGCATTCCTACTGATATTAACAATAAATCTAAGAGTAGTTTAAAATTTTTTTACAAAGCATATCTTCTTCGGCAGCAGGGTGATTTAAGATAAAGAAGCTTTTGCTTGACGGGATATACAGGGTGTATCTGAACGACGTGCCCAAACTTCAGGGGGTGATTCTTTAGGCAATTTTAAGGGTACTTTCTCATATAAACTATC